ATTGTATTGGACTCATCCTCCTCCAGGCTTGCTGCCACATCCACAGATCAGGCTGTGCTAAGAAGATTTCTGTTTGCCAATAGAGTAAATCTTGTCGCTGCTTTTCTAGCCTGCTGAATTTGTGGGTCAGACATGCCCGAAATGTGCTAAACTTGAATATCACCACCATGATTTTGTTAAACACTTTTTAAATGTCTTTTTCAGTAGTAACCCTCTTTTTTTTTAATTAATTATTTCATTTTTTGTAACATCTTCTTATATTAAATTTTCACACGGTAGATTTTTGTGAAGTCGAATCATTTTAAACAAACCTATCAGCTGTTTATATCGTATACTACTGATCAGCAGTATCATTAACCTAATATTGTGCGGGCCCCTGCTCTGACCCACTGAAGCACAGTCACGGCACCTCTGGGGATGTCCTGTGATGTCTGGCACTGGGAGTTTGGAGTCAGTCAGACCGGGATCTGATGAGTTTTGAGGCTGCGTCATCATTGTGATCTCAGCCCTAGCTGTATGACGAGGTGCATTGTCCTTTCAGAGTGCCATGGCGGGAGGTGGCTGGATCTATGGCAATGTTTAGATGGCTGACACGTGTCAAAGTAGCAGCCATACAAAAGCCAAGAATTAAGGTTTCTCAGCAACAAGGTGAATAGTATTATTTACTTCACCTGTTGGTGGTTTTAAACTTGTGGCTCATCAGAGTAGAAATGTAATTATATAATATCTGATTTTCCATAGGCTTGTCAATAACATGTTCTTCTTGCTCTAATTGGTATGAAGCAGAGTAATCTTATCGTTGTCTTCCTGAGATTAACCCTGATTTGAGTAAGGGTCATTGCCATTGGCCATCTGGCTCAGAAGCCCTCCTTGTGATTGGCCATATGGCGCCAGAGAGCGAGATTTATGAAGAGCAGAATGTTTAAATTGAATGAAAATTTTCCACTGAATGATCTTATCTGTTGGCACAGACACAACGCCTTCTCGCTATGGCATAGCTGTGGATTTGCAAATCTATACAGGACCATGAAAGAGTATGTTTGCAGGTCTGGCAATACTTAATGTAACATTTTTTTTTTTGTGTGCGTAGCAGAACACAAAGAAGAAAATCTGACACTTAAGGGAAAGCAGAGACATTTTTTTTTTATCTTTCAGGTTGCGTTTGGATGTTCCCACAAAACATAATGGAGCCAGTCATTCCCATTTTCCAAGTTCTGGATGTGTTTACACGTAGGATGTGTGAATGCATCCTTTCACTCCTTTTATTATTTGTGTTTGCCTGCATACATGTATGTTTGATTGGAATTCATCATGACGTGGCTACGATCTGGTTTCCCACGTTAATTTGTAATTCCTTTTAACATTTTGCTTTGCTTCATAAACAGAAATGAAGGAAGAGTACTGACAACTTAAAAACACAAGACTGAGATTAAAGAGAAAAAGCTGTTTTTTTTGGTATATTTAGAACCAAAACTGATTTCATAAGAATTTTGCCCTGTGATCTTCTAAAAGCTTAACCTATAGTTCTCTTTCCCACGTTCTTTCTAATAGGGTCGTTTTTCTTGCCCTTCTTTCTTTCTCTAATCTGTTGTCATGCGGGCCTGAGATCAGTATATTGTTTAGTGTCAGCGCTTCGTGCTTCCTGATATCACATATGTCTAAATCTCTCTAGGAATGGGACATGTGTGTTCACAGTCAATGGCTGGGTCTCCTGGGTCAACGTGACTTTGAACCTTAAGCTGGTTCTTATGTAAGGCTTCATCTATGGGGATGATTAAACATCAGTTTAAATTTCCTTGAAGATCAGGTTTTGCACCAACAGCTTTTAAATACCCCAAGAACAAAGAAAAGGAAAAGGTCAATTATGCCACAGGTCTGCTGATTAAAGATTTTTATGGCCCACACTAGAAGACCCAAGTTGGGCTCCTCGGCTGAGTGTAGGATTTAATGCCGCAGACTGTGCGTGAGGGTGATTGGTTGTGACATAATCTACGGCTGTAACATCCAGTGCCCAAAGGCCGTAAAATCTCCAGAGCCCCCCCCCCCACACACACACTTTATGATGATAAATAAGGAGTTGCTGGGATGCAGTAATCTGTTGTTGAACTTGAGACTTGAAGGCTACTGTGCTGCTTCATCGGCAGTAATAGGCCAAATCCATTGGGATTTCCTGCCAATCACAGGCTTGTGGTGGGATCTTAATAACTTTCCCTTGGAAGCTGATAAAACTGCCTTTTTTTTTCCTTTCGTCCGAAATTCATCAATCTGTCGTTTATCATGGTGACATGCAGACATTCAGCTCAAGGAAACAGTGGCATAGATTCAAAGTCCAGGCAGCGTGTTCCTGTGGCAGTATTGTGCTTGGAAAGGGTTAAAGATCCACTGGAACTGCTTTACCGTGTCATAACATGTTACTGTTGAACTCCATGAAACGTCCTTGTGTGTGATGCATGACCTTAAAGTTGAACCTGTTCATAACAGCTCATTCAGATTAATAAAACTGCAAAATTGTGCATGGGCTTGTGCGTTTTCCTAATGAGAAAAGAAAGGCTAAATGAGCTAAAGTTGATTTCACCAACTCACCTGGCTCACTCATCCGTGTACTCTGCAAATTGAAGATGCTAATTTCCTCTGTAATCACATGCGCATAAGAGCAATCACTTGCCTCGTTGAGACTTTAGTCAAAATGCTAATTAAAACTCGCGGCCCTGCAAATGAACAATTTAGAATTCATTATCCTCTTTTGTGTGTCTTTTTCTGTGTTTGCAGTTTTGCATCTAATTGCCAAAACACTGCGGTGTTACAAAAAATGTCAACATTCCAGCTGGACTTTATCTAATCTTACTCTACGGCTGTTCAGAGGGTGCTATGACTGTTGTCATGCCGTTCAATCCACATGGAATATAGATATTCAGACGTTGCACAGGCAGACCAACTCCACTAGGATCAATATGTACCATGGTCTTCTAGCACATTGTCTTTCTGCCTGAGCCCTACAAAAACAACCTCCAGCAGGCCACTGGAGTGAATGTTTCTGACTAAGCAATCAGAAGCAGACTTCATTAAGGCTGACCTGTGAGCCTGATATCCTCTAGTTGGGGGCGTCAGGACCCCCATTGGTATTTGTCATATTTGCCAGAATTGGCAGGTACATAACTGCTGCCGTGTGCTTTTCACAGATGAGAACAGGTTCACCCTGAACACATGTGACAGCTGTGAAATGGTCTGAAAAAGCTGTGGAGAACATTGTGCAGCTAAAGGAATCTATACCATTGACTGGTCTCCTCATTTGCCTGACCTAAATCCAACAGAACATCTCTGGGACATTATGTTTCGCTACGTCTGACACCACCAGGTTGCATCTCAAACAGTCCAGGAGCTCAGCGACGCCCCGGTCCACATCTGGGAGGTGTTCCCCCAAGACACCATCTGTTGTCTCATTAGGAGCACTGATATTATCAGGCATGCATACAAGCACATGGGGGCCAAACCAACTACTGAGTAACATTTTTATTTGCTGTGACTAGCCTGGTGCATCATTTTTTCACTTTCAGGGTGTTTTTGAAATCATATGTCTGTAGGTTGATCGTTTTCATTTTCATCCATTTCTGTGGCATCCTTTAATTCCATATCAATATATATGTGATTTTTCCTATGGAAATGTGATGTTTTTAAAGTATTCCTTTATTTTTTTCAGCAGTGTACTAAAGAACAGATCCCTGCTTCCTTCCTTCCTTCCTTCCTTCCTTCCTTCCTTCCTAATGTTTTAAAAATAAGAAACACTTTGAAACAAGAAAAACATGCCAACTTGTGTTTTGTTCTACTTTTCTATTCAGAAAGTTCAAAGCAGGGGAATAAAAATCAACAGTACTTTTCGCCTCTTGGAGCAGCAGCACACCTTTTGTTCCACTTTGATCCCCGTCTCTGTCAAACCCCCTCAAACCTCTGCTTTCTAGGTCTCTGATTACCTCAGAAGAAGCAGCCAAGACTAAAGTCTGGTTGCTATGGTAACGAATGTGGATTTGAATACCCTTGATGTGTGGTGAAAGTGTACCTGTATGTGCACTTGTTTGCATGCGTCTCAGTGAACGAGCAGCAGGCAGAGGACCAGAGGACTGGCTGTGTGTGTAACAGCAGGTTTGCGTGGACACTTTGAGTTCAGACTTCACATGGCTCAGGCTGAGGTGGAGTTTAAGCTCTCTCACGCCGATAATAAACGATTCACGCAACTCAGAGACAACACCTTCACTTTATAATCAGTCACAGGGGAAAGTGTTGTTTTCAAACACAAGCCCAGAGGATGCAGCTTTGTGAGAGTCCACATGCTGTGTGAGCGAGCTTTTATCTCCTGCTGACTTTCTTACCCACCTAATAAATAAGGATTGTCTTTGGTTTGTGTTGCTCTGTGGTTTGAAGCGTGTTTTTTGAAGCGTGCCAGCGTCTTTTTAATCTGTTGTAGATTAGCTTCCTAATCTCTACTACCTAGACTTTGGAATAGTCTCCTGCTGTTAAAAAGCAGTTATTATTTAACAGCTTTCTGTTGAGATTTTTTATTGTTAGTAACTGATTTTGATTAATCGTATTATTTTGATTGTGCTTTGTGACTTGTCTTGTGTCTGCAAAAGGCGCTTTACAAATAAACTTCACTTGCTTTTTCTCAGTTTAAAGATTTGATAGGTTTTCTATGGCCTACTGTGAATAAGATACAGGTTAATAAGATTTGCGGATCACTGAGTTCTTTTTTTATTCATATTTTATACACCGTCTCACTTTTTTTTGTGATTGGGTTTGTATAGCACTTGTAGTTATATAGTAAACTGAGGCTTTTTTGTACTATTAACTTTTTACCATAATAGTTTTCCCACGTTGATTAAAAAAGCTAAAATTACATTAATTCAGCTTGAATGTTATTAAATAAGCAATATCAATCCAACGATTAAATACATATTTAAAACGTATACTCTTATATGTTATTACTTGTAACAAGTAGAAGTACTTTGAACTCTTGATAGTACTTATCTTTTTACTTAAAGAAATTTCCCTGTAGCTTCTAAAGGAAAGTCTGAGGAATATCCTCCACTATCAGATCAAAAGTATTCATAAATGGTATAACAACTTAATATATTCAGATTTGTCTGCTTCTTTGATTGGTTGTAAACATGCATTGAATGTGAAAAACAAGTAGGAAGGTTTTGATACAACTGATCAACTGAAGGGAGAACTGGCAAATGTCCCACTTCTTGTGACAAGCTTCTGATTTAAAGCAAACACATTCACCTATAAGATACAGTACATCCTCCAGTGGATGTGGTGAGTCGTTTTTGTCTTAAAAGCTAACACATCAAAGGAAAATCTCTATCCCACCTACACTTGGCTTCCATTTCCATCTCTCTCTGGCTCTATAGCCAGCTTTTTGGGGCTTTAGGTGATGAGTGTCCTTGGTGAAAAATGAGAAGGCTAGAGCCAATGTGTCCATGCTCTCTGCTCTGAATAGGAATTCACAGCAATGCACCGACAGACTTATGCTCAGTGGGCTTTTTGGCACGGTCCCCCCGCCGTGTGTGTGTGTGTGTGTGTGTGTGCGCGCGCGCGCGTGTGTGACTGTCTGTCTGGGAGAGTGAGTGCGGCAGCCAGTATCAGCTAATTAAAATTTGAAAAATGGGAAATCCCAATTTAATTCATCCCCATGCCAAACGGGCGACTGGAGGTTTATCATATCACCAATACTCATAACTGATGAGGCACATGCGCAATCAGCTTTCCCCTACAGTCTAGCGCCAACTGAGCTCAATCTTTAAACCGCGAGCAGCTGCAGACTGATCATCCGTTTGTTTGAGGCTGAGTCTCATACACCGAGCTGGGCAGGAAAACTGTGCAAACTTCTGATTCTGATGACGAATCAGAAGTTAATCTGCTCTTTTTCGCACCTGAGTCGCTCTCAGTTTGACCAACACGACAAGGATGGAAAGGTGAAAGTTCGGATTTTCTAAATCAGTAGTTTTAACGTGCGGTAATCCGTACTACTGACATAAACAGGGGATGTGAGGGACAAGTTTGAAAACAGAAAAACTCATAAAAAGGAGCTCAGCGGCGAGGATGTACGCAGGTAAGAGAAATCATCCATATTTTCGCACTTTAGAGCAGATCGCGTATTTATTTACTTAAATGTCTGAGGGGACAAGAGAGTTGTTAGAAACGCGGGTGTCTCAAATCTGGTTTTTAGGGTTTTTTTCTTGGCTGTTTTCTGACATGTTTGTGTAGTTACTTTGTGCAAAGAAATCGGTTTTTTTTTCTTTGTTTTGAAAGTTTCTCTTGTGCATCGATTCGTGGTGCTGAAGTAACAGCTCCCGACACTTGCTCGGTGCAGTTACTCCAAAAAAGTAAGAAAAAAATGCAACACGGATTTTTCTTTAAAAAAAAATCAAAGTAGGAAATCCGTTTTTCCCCTTTTGCGTCAGCGTGTGGTGGCTCAGTGCCTGAGCGAGTGGAGGATTTGGGCTGCTGTTGCTGCCTCTGTTCCTCTTCTGCACCCACTTAATATGTTCTCAGAAGAAGGGCTGCAAGTAAATTTAACATGCAGCATGGCAGTGAGCCACACATCTTATTTACCTTATTGTACAACAATAATGAATTGAAAACAGAGTCCGAAGTTATAAATCTGCCTGTTTCCCAGGTCACAAGCTGTGACAGACAGAACATGCAGCACGAACGTCCACAGCCTATATCATAACTGTCATTTTTGTTTTGCTTTTTGTCCCTGGATGTGCAGCAACATGCCAACATGCCACTTTGGTGAAAACTCAAAGCAAGTTCTAAGCAGACTGGTGCCCCTGGGCAAGATGATTTATTTGGGTCACATTTTATGTAATAGGTACAAATGTGGTGCAAGATATGATTTCATGAAACTTTTTTTTCTTTTTTTTAATGCATATGTACCATTAGGTGTCCTTGAACAGCTTCTTGGCAGACAGCAGTCCTCTCACCCAGCATAAATCTTGACGAAAAAAAAGAGGATGCAAAGATAAGAGTAAGAGTTAAGGAAGCAGATGGTAGAAGCAGCTTGTTCTCTCACTCCCAAGCTTTGAACCCCACACCCTTGCCTTTAATATACATTCAAGGATTCTGCTGAGTGTACTGAAACATAAAGCACAGACAAAGAAATCCTGCTAAGCTCTCGTTTCCTTTATTCCTTGATTGTACCTCTCCTTACTATGATTTCACACACTGTTGACTTCTGTACAGTCTGGATATTTCTCCTATTCATTGAGGGGGGATTTGCACTGGTGCAAAAGATTAAAGGTAAGATTGCAATCTTTATTCTGCTCCTTTGACAAATGGACTCCTTTATACATTTCCATATTCTTCTTTAATTTGCGATGTATTTATTTATTTATTACACAAATGTGTCCATAACTGCATTTTAGATGTCAGCAGCTTTTGTCCGGATAATTTTTTTGTAGGTTTGAATGCCTTGTGTTGCTTGGTTTTCATAATGTGCAGATTCAGGTGCAGGGTCGAAAGCAGTTAACCCTTCTCTACGACCACAGCGTCACTGTGGAAACTGGGTACGAACCACTGATGGCGGCACTTTCAGTTCCCCAAACTACCCAAATACGTACCCTCCAAACAAGGAGTGCCTCTATGTGCTGGAAGGTAACTGATGAGAAGCACACAGCCCAAGCTGAAAAACAGTTCAGATATTGGGACATATTCTTGTATTGGCTCGGATTGGCTCTGCGGGAATCCGATGCCATCGACACATATAAAACCTATTATGTGCAATGCCTCATTTTCCTCTTTTGTCATTAAAGACAAAACTGTGTTATTTTAATGTATCGTTCATTAACTTCTCAACCAGTAATGATATATAAAGAACATACAAGACAGAGTAGCATCTGAAAGGAGCAAACGTGTCTTTCTTGTTGCCGTTTTTATAGCGTTTTGTATTCTTGAATCGGCTCTGACAGTAAAAAAGTGCCAATTGTTCCCCAGCCCTGCCTCGCCAGAGAATAGAGCTGATGTTTGACGAAGTCTTCCACATCGAGGCGTCGTTCGAATGTCGCTTCGACCACATCGAAGTGCGGGACGGTCCCTTTAGTTTCTCCCCGCTCATCAATCGCTTCTGCGGCTCAGCCAGTCCTGGACTCATCCTGTCGAGCGGACGCTTCATGTGGATCCGCTTCTTCAGTGATGAAGAGCTGGAGGGGACTGGCTTCCAGGTCCAGTACAGCTTTGCTGCAGGTGACTAAAATGCAGAGTGGTGGATGTACCATTTTCACACTGCTCAAAAAACAAATAGCCTTTAGCGGACCAGTGATTCTGTGCTCTTCTTATTTCTCACCCCGAAGATCCTGAATTTCATCTGCATGTGGGAGGACTTTTAAACCCCATCCCAGGTAGTGCAACAGCATGTATAAGAAAACCCATGCAGCTCCAGGTGTACATCTTTAGACTGCCATGTGAAATAAAGTTGTTACTTTCCATCTGATCACATGTCCTCCTTTTTGCTTCCACTTTGTTTCTTGCCAACTGTCGTCTCTGGGTCAGATTGTCAGTTTGAGCTGTCTGGAGCTGACGGTGTAATCCGTTCAAGTCAGGTGGACGAAGAGTCCAAAGTGAAGCCAGACCAGGCAGTGGACTGCATCTGGACTATACGTGCCCCAACAAAGAACAGGGTAAGATATTGAAATGACACCATTAAATTTGCATTTATACATCCAGTTCTCTATTTCTGCGTTTTCAATTGAGTGATAACTGAAAGTCTGTAAAAAAGGAAAAGCAGAAAGAAAGGAAAATAAAGGAAAGGAGAAATATTTCTTCTCAACAAAATGAATTTAAGGAGAGGGGATATAATTCATTGGGAACAAAATGACAAACAGTACAGTGGAATGAAAGATGAGTCTGCAGCCTGCAGCTTATTTTGCTTTCTGCTTGCACCCTTCACCCTCTCCATATCTGCTGTGATGTATTTTTCTATATTCTTTACATTATTTGAAAAACAAAGCATCCCAAGCATCTTTTTTTAATATAAAGCAACTACTAATCTGCAGCTTATGCATATAAATAATAAACATGTGCATCGATAATCTGACAGTCAGCTTAAGTACATCTGCAGTAAAGCTGAGTCAAAATGATTTATATCAGTGATGATTCAACTGTCTTCTGTTGGCAAACAGAAACTAGCTGAATTACAAACCCATGTTGTAAAAAGCTGTGAAATGTAAATAGGAAGGGAATGCAATGCTTTGCAAATCTCATGCTGTATGTTATTTACAAGAGAACATGTTAAATGGTAAAGAGTTTAAATATTTCACCATCTACAGTGCATTTTCAAAAGATTGAGAGAATTTGGAGAAATCTCTGTGCAAGGGACAAAGCTGAAAGCCAGAATTGGATGCTGTCATAGTTTAGCAGATTGAGGATCCAAATGCAGACTCTGACAGGCAGACCTCGATGTAGCAAGAACCAAAAATGCTAAAGTCCATTAAGAAGGCAACTGAAAGTTGGGAACACACAGGGAGAGAAACATTAACATACAGACAGAGACAAAGGGAGTCACTAAGCCTGTCTATACAAGCTGACACACTAAAGGCTAATCATGAGGGTTGGGAAGAGGTAGGAAATGAGAAACAGCTAAAGACAAATTAGAGACAACAGAAGTGAAACTAGAAATAAAACACAAAAAAAGGAAGTCACATACCTACCACAGAGATAAGACCTTAGCACACTCATATTTGACAAAGACATGAAGGTAAAGCCAGGAAAATAAACATGAAACAACTATGCTAAATCGACCCAAACCAGAAAATAAACTGAAAGGCCCAAGATACATAAAGATCAAGTTTAACAGTCAACCAAGAACCATAAAATAATAGTATTCAGTTAATAAGGCTCAAACTCTGGAACATGACAGATGCCCATAATCTTCAGGCTCTCAGATGGCACTGCATTAAAAACAGGTGTGAGTCCGCCACATAAATAACTGCATGAGCTCCAAAATCACTGTCTGTGAACACAGTTTGGCAAATCAAAATTTCAAACTATTTTTTTGGAAAACTTGGGCGCTGCTTTCTCTGGACTAAGGAGGAGAGGGACCATCTGTCTTGTTATGAGCGCAGACTTAAAAAGCATGAATCTTTGATGGTATGGAAGTGAAATAGTACCTATGGAAGTAGCTGTAAAGGTACCATGTAGATGATATCTTTTTCAGATAAGGCCTTCTATATTTCAGCAAGACAAAACTAAATGTACTGCACGCATATGTCAACATCATAGCTTTGTAGCAGAATTTCTCGGATGCCAAACCGGCCTGTCTGCAGCAGAGACTTTTCATTAAATCAAAACATTTGAATCATTAAGCAAAAGCTACAACAAAGAATGCCCAGGACTGCTGAGCAGCTAGAATCCTACATCAGGCATGAACAGAACAACATTCCTCTCCTAAAAGTCCAGCAGCTGATCCTGCGCTTCCTAGGACGGCAATCTTTTGGACAAAGATCTCAGATGTTGTTTCTGAGATCTGCTGGAGGCACTCGTCCCGTATGGGGGTTCCACTGTTGCCTTCACCCTTCACGTCTTCTTGAGCTCCTCCCTCAGCCCGTGGTACTTCTCGAGCTTCTCGCGTACCTTTTTCCTGATGTTGTTATCACTCGATAGAGCTACATCTATCACTACAGCTGTCACTATGTCTGGTTGGTTAGCCATCACCAGTTTGTCTGCCTGCATCTGGAAGTCCCACAGGATCTTAGCTCGGTCATCCTCAACCTCCCTAGGGGGCATATCTCATTTTGACCTCAGGACCTCCAGGCCACTTCCAGGCCCTGTAGACTACAACAGCCACTTGGTGATAGCGTTCCACGTATGTCCTTGCCTGCTAGCTCCAGCATGCAGCTGGGGTCTTGCCTGGTGTGGTAGACCCCAACCTCTATGGAAATGGCAGGAATATTATTCCCAGTTTAAACAGTTGACCTGTTTTTCATGTTTATGGGATTTTACAAATCATTGGATTCATTTTTTATACAGCATCCCGACTTTTTTGGAATCAGGTTGTGTGTGAAAAATGAAAAGTGTACACTGTTTCCCTCTCCATTACTCATTCCAGATTTACCTGCGATTTTTGGAATACCAGATGGAAAACTCCAATGAATGTAAGAAGAACTTTGTGGCTGTTTATGATGGCAGTAATGCTATTGAGGATCTAAAGGTAATTCTTTGCATAACATCATAAATATTACTCTGTCTCTGCCTGACGCACTAAGTTTGTTGCGCATTACATTGCACTATGCTTTCAGGTCTGAGGTTCTTCTTCTGCTACAGGATTTATCTTTCTTTCTTTGCCATACATGCTCCTTTTTAATGCCATATTTAAATCACAAATATGTAGCAACTGTTCTACAGACCTTGGCCTCATTGAGTCCGCACATCAACATCCATAAAAGAAAGTGGTGTGTGGTTTCTTGCAGGCCAAGTTTTGTAGTACAGTAGCTAATGACATCATGCTGGACACTGGTGTGGGAGTAGTGAGGATGTGGGCTGATGAGACAAGCCGTCTCAGCCGCTTCCGGATGCTGTTCACATCTTTTGCTGACCGTGAGTGTCTCCTTCAGATTATTCTTTCCCCCCTGCCCATCATTTTGCTTTTTCAGCTGCGATGGGAAAGTACATGTATTAAAGATACGGTGCATATTTTGGTGGTTTTAATCACTGCACCTTATATAGTAAGTCTTAGCAATAGGAAATAATAATAGTTCTGATAAGCATTTTATAGTTGGATCTCTGATAAGGACATGCCACATTCTTTCTGCTTGTAGCTTTCAATGCTTTGTCAGGTTGTACACATACTTCATATACACTTGTGTTTGTGTTTTAGCACCCTGTATGAGCGGTGCGTTCTTTTGCCACACTAACATGTGCATCAACACTTCTCTGGTGTGCAACGGCATACAAAACTGTGTCTTTCCTTGGGACGAAAGCAACTGCAAAGGTACCTCGATTCTGCTGAAGCCCTTTGGCAGAAATGCTTTCTTTGGTCTGCTGTGATGTGTTATGCTGTGTAATTCTGTCATGCTTTGTGAAATGATGGATGTCATGTCTGCCTTTGTTGTGTCACATTGAGTCTCCTTGAGGATCATTATGAAACACACACACCGGCTGCAGCAACTACAGAACAGTTAATATCGATGTGTTTCCACTTGGCAGGAAAAGCATAATCTCATAGTTTTGACGCGTTTCCAACTGAAAGGCCTTCAAGGCTTTTTGGCTAATAAGTGGATCTTAAGCATTTCTAGTGCTGGGATGGGTGTTTATCAGTGCCTTAGCTTTTAGTAACTGCTTTGAATTGTTCCTGGCATCCAGAGATACGAATTGTGTTGACACAGGAGGGAACAAGTAAATGACTGATGCACTCTCGGTGCCTTTGAAAGCCTCTGATATTTTTAACTCTTTATGTCGTCATTTCAATCCTCCAGAGAAAAAGAACAAAGGTCTTTTTCACCAGATCACAAAGACTCACGGGACAATAATCTGTGTGTCTACGGGGGTGGTGCTGTTACTCCTAATTGTCTCCATTCTGGTGCAAGTCAAGCAGCCACGTAAGAAGGTATTTAAGAAAATTTGTTGTCGAATTCTTCTAACATCATCCCACTAAATTTTTCTCATAGAAACTACAAATAAAATAGTGATTCCCTGTCATATTTTAAAGGTGTTGGTTCGTAAGAACAACTTGTTTCCTCGTGCTGACTTCCAGGAGGTGTTTGACCCTCCTCACTATGAACTCTTTAATCTCAGAGACAAGGTCAGTTTTATTGCTTTTACACATTATATTATTGGTACATGTTTATATCGTTTTAAAACTACTAATTTATTAACGTTGTCCTTCACAGGAGATTTCTTCAAGAGACCTTGGGGAGTTGTCAGAGGAGCTCCAGTCCCTACAAGCACTCAGGAGGTCCTCGTCAGGATCGCGCTGCATACATGAACACCATTGTGGCTCTCTGGCCTCTATCAACTCCATTAAAGGCAGCCTAGGGGCGCAAGGCCTGGGAAGGGGATCCATGGAGCTTCCACCTCTCAGAGTAGACTTCCAAAACTCCTTGCCTCCCCTAAGAGATTTCAACAGCAGTCTGAGGAAGAAGAGCTGGCCCAGTATGAAATCAGGCCGAATACAGGGCCATCATGGTATGGCAGAGAGAGCTCTGGGGCGGCAGGACAGAGTAATGGAAGAGGAAGAAGAGGAGGAGGACGGAAGGTATGATGTGTATGTGCGTAGAGGTGGAAGCCGAAGAGGCTATGAAATGGCCCAGCAAAGATCCCTGTCCATGGACTTTTGAGGAGAAAACACAAGATCTGCGTTAGGGTAGGTAAACACTGCCTCAACTTTAGGGAGGAGCTTTTCAAATTTACAGGAAAAAGGAAAAAGAAAGAAAACCAATGGCTTGTGCAAGTACACTTTCCTTCTTCTCAGTAAGGCTGGAAAACATAGGCTCTGTTAAGGAGCAACAAGAAGATCCTCAGGCACTGCCAAATCTGCTTATATACTGAAACAGCAAACAGAGAGCTGTTATCAAGTCTCTGACACCGGTGTAAAAGTGAAACTAAAAAAAAATGCTGTATAGTGTTCTTGTCTTGATGTATTTTGTTGAATACATTTAACTGTAACGCGAATAGATGTTGTGGAAGTATGTTTTGAGTCAGTGTGTAGAAGAAGTGTGATTACATTTTGAGTATTAGTGAAAAAACTACATTGGTTAAAAACAAAAAGGTAATTTCCACACCTCTGACTTCAGAAAAGTCAGCTCCGAGTTAAAGTCGGTTTTAGTTTTACTGAAGGAAAGTCTGGTTGTTCTGCAATCCCCTTTTGGGCATGTTGCACAAGTACACAGGTTGGAAATTTTACAGTTATGTCACTCTTCAGTGACACACCTGACCTTATGAAAACCGGAAAACTAGGTTTCTTTTTACAATCTTTAAAAACAAATGGGTTACCAGATCTTAACACGGTGGGGGAGAAGCCAACATAGTCCTGTTAATTAGCAAGGAGGGTATTTAGGAATTAAACCATTTAATAAGAAATGAAACCATGTGAGTACTGACCTTAAAGAAAGTGTTTGAATGGAGAAAGTTAGACATGGTTCGCCTGGTTTCACAGTGGATTTGAAATGCTGTATTCCAATGTTTTCATGTGTTGTGATCTTAAACACAGTGTCTCTGAAATTCCCACAGAACCTCTTACATAACCTTGTAGCTGGCACAAACCTCATTTGGAAAGCCTTGCGGTGTAGTCAGCATACCTCTGCAGTTCATTTGTCATCCTCAAAAAAATTCACTGGACCAATAATTAATGGGGCAACATGGTTTGTCTGCATAGACATAAACAAAAGCCTGACAGTGCATTCTCAGTGCTAGTGTGTGTGCTGGTAACACAGTGTTATACAATTCTCATTTGACCTCTAAGGACAGACTTATAAACTCACGATTAAAGACTTTCAGTTAAGTTTCTATGCACTGGCTACTTTGTACACAATAAAAGCTATGATCAAACAAGTGATAGATAACGTAAATGGGTCAGTGATGATAATGTACTCTGTTTTATATGCTTCCATAAGTTGACCTTGTTTGTAGGGAATATGCATTATCAGCTCCAGTACACAGTCTTTTTCTTTTCTGTTTTTTATCTCAACATCCATGAATAGGCACGATATCTGGAACACCTCAGGTAATAAATGACTCCAGAGAAATAGGTCAAAAGGTACAGGAGATGTAGGATTATTGCTATATAATAACTCTCTGTGTGACAATAGTTAAGCCTGTCTTCAAAGGTGTGTCTCATTCTTTTCTCAGTTTGATCAACGCTGGGAAAATATCTGCACTAAGGAGCTAAAGAAGTTTAAGTTGGGTTTTTTTGTCTGATTTTTTTAGACTGTTACAAGCCCTGTGTGCTTATAGTCACCACAAATAGTTTGAAAGCCATAATCATTTGTTTGTTGTTGTTTTTTTACTACTTTTAATTCATTTATAAAAACATTTTTACTTTGTCACAGTTGGTTATGCTGATTCCTTTCAAATTAAAACTGTAATATTCTACAAACACTTTTGCTTATGCTTCATGACATCCATCTATCACCTGCAGGTGAGTGTCTGGGATGGGAAAAAAACAACAATGCTTGACCAGAACTGAACCTCAAGTTTACTTTTAGATTGCAGTACAGTAAGTCAGGTGATAACTTACATTAGAGCAGCAGGTTGGCATGCAGTTTTTCCACCATTCAGAGTTTCCAGAGACAGACAAGAAGGCTTGGGAAATGTTTATAAAAAATGTTTACTGTAACTATGATTGGAAAGAATGACGTCTAATGTTTAGCACAGTTTTTGCCTTGTACTACAGACGATGCTGAGGAGTCAAGAATAAAAAGCACTTCATTGATCAAAATAAATAAATGTGGTAAAACATAATAACATAGAAATTAAACACAAATAGGTCTGTAATTGTAAAATAACATCTTTATAAGTCTTTAATAAAACTATACAAGCAGTTTTTTGGCCTCATTGATAAGAAAAATGCTGCTGCACTATGACTTAGTACACGTCAGCATCAGCAGCTGTAAATGAAAATATAGCAACAGCTTGTTTAAAGTCTTTGAGTTTCCTTCATCACTTTGTTCGGTGTTTTTTCATCTTCAGTCCACAAAAAAACTCCTTTCAGTCCAAAGTGTGCAGGCAGACCGGGCTCCTAAGGCCAGAATGATGTATTGCAGCACGACATGGTCCATCCATGTGTTTATAGTCCAAAGCATTAAAACGAGGTCCTCAATGACTCATCAAAAAAGGGCATGTGATTATAGGCCACTAAGGGTGTGCTCTCTCCAAGAACAGCCTCTGTGAAGTTGGGCCTTCTCCAGGCGTACACCATGCTGTTCAGGAAACCTTGTAGAGACACACTGGCAGCCTGCAGTAGACAAAAGCAATATTTTAGCCTGCAAATCTGCCATCTGAGGACATTTTAACCTACTCACTGAAAAGCTGTAACTAAAACATACCTGTAGCATATAAACACCAAATAAACTGTATTGTTCAACGTTTGTTCTCATCAACAAGGTAGATAGCAGGATGAGGAAAAGCGCTACAAGAAGAAGAAACATCAGTTTAATTTTGTCTTAAAGTTGATATTTACACTAGCTTTGTGCGTGCTTTTGTGTACCTGGTGCCCAGCAGATTAGGATGACTGTCACCATATTCCTTGAGGTAGAAATTGCTCTTTTCATTCTTCTTCTTGAACGCCCATCTCCCTCCACTGGAAAAAGCCCCTCCGGATCTCGTCTTTCATACCACTTACCAACCTTATAGTAAATAATCTGAACCACAACAGGAAAAAAAACATTTGTTTCATCAGATTACACTGGTATTTAAACTTGCTTGTTATGTTACAGCAATGTGATTGTTAGTAACTCACAGAGCAAGACACCAGCACCGGTATCACCACAATGAAAAGAAAAGCTCTGATGAAAACGTCATGGATTGTCTCCTGTGGGCAAAAGAGAATTATGTATCAAAAATATGCTTATACAAAATGTAACAATGCTAAAGAGCATTATTATTCTGTTAAACAGAGACTATACGCACACACACTACAACAGAGGCCTCGATAAAAGAAAGTGTGTTAAAGGGTTTCATAAGACAGCTGTACACTCACAACATCTGAGCAGGATTCCCTCCAGACGTGCAAGAACAAAATACAACTGTGAAAAAGAGAAAATCAAAAAAGGTCAGAAACACAGGGGAACAGACCCATTTCACTGCTGTGACGTCTTTGAAAGATTTTGAAGGAGGCTGAATCTCTGGGTTGTATGCTCACCTGGTGCAGTACGTGCTATCGTTACTGAAGACCCGATTTGGCAAGCTGCTGGTAGCTGGAATCAGCAAAGTAGCTTTCATGAAAGGAGTGAGCACATATGCTAAGTAAAGTGCAAGTGGGATCAACCTGTTATATTGGGCAGAAGATAGAGAAGAAGAATTAAATTGTGCACACATGGGATACCATCTGGTGGGTTAGGTAAAAACTAAAGCATTTATTAATTCATTTATTTTTTGAAAAAGTGGTTAAAACTTACCACACAATGGCATACACAGGTATGACTATTTCTGGTCTTCGACATGTATTCTGCAAAACAAGAAAATGTCAGTGAATCTGGTTTCTGGACAAATTATGATCACCAGATGCAGCGAATGCCTCACCAGATCATCATCCGCTGGTCTTTCTCTCCATCCTTGGATCGCATTCTTTGACTTCCAGGCGTAAACGACCACCAGCAGGAATGAAATGAAATAAAACGTCTGGAACAAAACACAAAGAACAACGCAAAATGTGACAGTTTTACCAATAAAGTAATTTTAGACCAAACATTAATATTTACCTTAAAGTAAATGTCAGTTAAATATAATTTATGTGAATACTGATGAGCTCTGGTTCTCAGAGAACAACTTTATACTTGAAGATTTCTCAGTTGGTTATGCTGATTCTTAGGACCAGTGTCCGACAAACGTGCAAGAGGACCTTTATCTTTACGAGGACGATCTTTATGAAGCAACGTGAGGACATTTTATTATTTGATTTTACATCTGCTGCTTGTAAAATGAAATGAGATATTTTTTTCTTTTTTTAAACATGCTTCTTTGTATAAGAAGGATATGAAGTATAAATACAGCTATTTATTTAAATGTAAATGTAAGGTACAGTAAACCTCTGCTGACATACCTGTAGACATAAAAATGAGATGCTACATTAGCTGAATTTTAAAATATAGGGTCATATAAAAATGATTTAATACCATGCTCCTTTAGGATTTGCAGTGGATGTTTGTTATCTTATAGCAGGGGTCCCCAACTCCAGGCCTCGAGGGCCAGTGTCCTGCAGGTTTTAGATCTCACCCTGGGTCTACACACCTGAATCAAATGATTAGTTCATTACCAGGCCTCTGGAGAACTTCAAGACATGTTGAGGAGGTAATTTAGCCATTTGAATCAGCTGTGTTGGCTCGCGGATAATCTAAAAACTGCAGGACACCGGCCCTCGAGGCCTGGAGTTGGGGACCCCTGTCTATATATTATAGCATGTAAACTAAATTTGGAATTTAATAAGTCTGTTGAAGTGCATAAAGACTCTGAACCCCAAAATAAGGTAACCTTAAGTTAGGAACCGGTTCAGTTCATTTTTTTCTTTCTTTTTTATATTGAACTCTTAAAAAGGTTAAATATTTTCCATATCTGCATTTTGAAAGAATTCCACAATCTGAGCTAGAGGAATTTGAGAGTTTGGTCCTACAATACATTCTTTTCTTTTCTTTTCTTTCCTTTTTCTGTTGCTTTTATGTACAATCAATATCTACTGTCCTTAATGCTTATCAATCTAAATTCTAACGAGAACTCAAAAGACTTTAGTCAACCGAGTTCACAATGGACGTTGCCAGTTAGAAATTTATGCTGAGAACAACTGTTATGAAAAGCATGTGGAGCTCCTCCTCTCAGCCTGAGGGATGAATGTGGACATGTTTGCATAACAGGGAACGTGACACAGCAAAACTGCTCACTATGTCATTTTATAGAGGCAATATAAGGAACACATGTTTTTGATTTACTTTACTGCTTGAACTACGTGATATGTCCTCGGTGCCTTTGGAAAACGTTATATTATTAGACAATAATCTGATTTTTTACTCTGTAAATGTTGATTGTTATAGCAGGAAGTACCAAAAGGAATGTGAAACCACCTAAACTTTGCCAAGCTGTTTAAGATTAAACTACTCCCCCACCAAAACGCAATCCTGTCAATGATTTATTTGCGGTGGTAAAAGCCCGATCAAACAATGAAATAAACTATTGCTCACCAGTGACAGCGGCAGGCCGTATTGGCAGATGACTATACTGTTGTCAAACGG